TGTTTATTCACGCTCGGGGTTTTCCCGGGGAAGTTGAAGTTTATGTGAAAAGAATCCAAATGTATTGTTTGGTCGCTTGTTGGTGGCACTGGCCTCTCAACCAAAGAGAACTCGGTTTATTATGTACAAGATATATATGCACGTCATTTTAATGAAAACCTGCATTTCAATTTGCAGGAAATGCTGAATCGTTCAAATGCAACTATAACGTAAAATCCCATACCTGTCACTATCCAACTGATTAACCAATAATAAATATACATGTATACACATTGACTACTACTACTACTACTACTACTACTACTACTACTACTACTACTACCACTACCACTACCACTACCACTACCACTACTACTACTACTACTATACTACTACTACTACTACTACTACTACAGACCAGTGAAGGTCCGGGCTAGAATGAACCTTCAGTAACCCATGCTTGTCGTAAGAGGCGACTAACGGGATCGGGTGGTCAGGCTCGCTGACTTGGTTGACACATGTCATCGGTTCCCAATTGCGAAGATCGATGCTCATGCTATTGATCCCTGGATTGTCTGGTCCAGACTCGATTATTTACATACCGCCGCCATATAGCTTGAATATTGCTGAGTGCGGCGTAAAACTAAACTCACTTACTCACTCACTCCTACACATTATACAGTTATTTGATACATCTGGCCTATAACATCAATCATAGCATCAACAACACTAATAGTTGGTAACGGTGGAAGAATCTACATAAAAACATCGCTCTAAGTTTTACGCCGCATTTAGCAATAGTCAAGCAATATCCGGGCGGGGACACCAGAAATGGGCTTCACATTGTACCCATGTGGGGAATCGAACCTGGGTCTTTGGTGTGACGAGCGAACGCTTTTGACCACTAGTCTACTACCCCACCACCCCACATGAACCTCTGGGTATTGAAGCAAATTTCTAAGGATTTGTAAAACAGATACCTGATCAAGCACGCAAAGTTCAAAGATACAACAGCTTACGGGGCGTAAAGTAAATCATGCAACTAAATGGCCATTTGAATTTTGAAAATCATTCGAAATATAAAAGAAATTGTAAAAGTGATTGCAATCCGAAGAAATTTAAACTCATCGGCCCGTCATGCACTGATCAAAGAAAATGCGTTTCAACTGTTTTAAATTTCAGCAAAAGAAGCCACATCTAATTTTTAATGACTCCTGGAGCGAAACGGCGTGAGTCACGCGCTCGGTCAGGACTGCAGCGGCAATGCGTAAAAGCCGGGACATAACAAGAAACGTGGCTTATCTCCCTTTTGTGGGTAAATTGTGCCAACAATGTTGCAGTGTGACGTCATATTGCTCCATTTGACCAATCAGCATTATGAATCGCCAAACTCCATCTGCGCAAATGTCAGAAAGTAGGTCAGCAGAAAACGTCTAACAATCAATGTCCCAAGACATGTCTGTTCACGGAGAAACCTCACTGGCAAATTTGTTTCCTTATCCATGTTGCGTGCCCTCAAAGTCTTAACAAAAAATATAAGCGAAAATGGGTCGTTTGACGTTTCCCAGGATTGACTTGAATCACTTCCAGCATAACAACTAGTTGGTAGCCGAACAGTATTTACATAAAAAGCAAGTATTGTAAAACAAATATCTTAAACGACATATATTAACGAGTTATTTACTTGAAACAGTGATTATCAGAAAGTATTCGTTATGTTTAAAAAAATAATACTCCTGAATTTGAAATATAATGAAATATCATGAATATTTTGTCTCTATGAACGTAACTATATTTAGCTAGCGACTGGACCATGACACCATTTATAGGAGTGATGTTTAAAGATCACTTACGTGCCCAATTCATACTCCCATTAATGTATGCTATGTATATATATTTCAGTAAATGTATTCATTATATCACGCACACTCTAATATTTTCACTGAGACAGCAAACAAACAAGTGCCGGGGTATATTTGGGTTTCTCAAAATGAATAGTTAAAAATATCATTATCATTATTAACACAACAGGGTGGGCTTAGTGGTGATGAAGCCAGTGGGTAGACAATGGGGGAAGGCTTCACTGGCTTCATCACCTCTAAGCCCCCCCTGTTGTGTTAATTACCTTGTTTTCTTTGTTACACTCAGTATTTATACTTTGCCACCAATGTATGTTACATTCCTGCTTGACAACGGTACAAGAACCTGTATCGAAACGTCGCACTCTCGTAATAAAGAAGTTGTTATCCGTAAAGTTTGTTAATTTTGTACGTCCCAGCTTCTAATAATAATATGCCACTCAAACAAGTTATGTACATTCATACAGTACAGACCATCGACCATTCCTCGCCCTATTACGCTTGTTCTTGAAATGTCACATGCAACGCAAAAAACAACTTTGCAGATTCTGATACCTGTCGGTATGGACTTACAGTAACAAATTATCAAAAATGCAAATTCGATCAACTTATAAAGTTGAAAAAGAACTCGATGAAAAAAACTCAGTCAGTCAGTCAGTCTAGTCTTATCTTGCAACCTTATTTTCGGACTATATGCCACTCAGTGTGTTGTTAATGACACAGGTACACTACCAGGTGAGTCGCCTCCAATGCCCATTTCTCCGTTTCAAGTCCACCTGGCAAAACAAGTTTATTATGTAAGTCGGTATTAGAAGAATAAATGTTCAGTCGTGGCCAAATGGTTTAATCTTGTAATTTATGTCAGACTTCAGACAAAGGAACGCTTTGTAAATTCATGACAGTGTGACTTGTTAAGGCAACCTTGGTGTCGCCAGTGCGACGTGAGCCCGCTGTAAGCGTGAACCTCAGACTGATGGGCGGCCTTCAGTGGAAGACATCCGGCGTATTCAACAAGTACATGTTTACTGACAAGAAGGCTGATAATTAATTCGTTTATGAATGGGAATATTTGTGTTTCATTCTATCTGATATCCTATAAATTCAACTGAGAATTGGCTCAATAGCTTTTTTTTTATAAAGAAGGTTGTGTATCTCGTATTGAAATAGACGTGTCAATGAGGGCGAAAGATTCATAAATGTGGAGTTGGTTCAAATGGAATTGTTCATTAATTGTTCATGGACATGCATTATGCACTTTGTACCCAGAATTAACTGACATATAGGTGCACGGGTGAAGTGACATACCATATGTCTCGAGTGCACCACACTGGAACAAATGACGAGGAAAACAGCGATTTATTGAATGTCTGGTATTCTCTCCGACAAGTACAGCGATGAAAACAATTAACTTTAAACTTTTAAACTCATAGGATTCTTTGAACCTGCCATGGTTGTAAAATATGTCAGACACCAGGGTCTCTTGGTGTATAAGATGTCATGGAGGTGTTGTTTCGGCCCCGACGCCGGTGCCAGTCCTCGTGAACTAACCAAGATGATGGCGAGTTATTACTTCAGGATGAAGGAAATGCTTTGAACTACTTGTCATAGACATCAGCTTGTAGTATGTAGATCAATGTTACACTGAAAGTAATGTGAATGGTACTTATGAATTGGTTTAATGTATATATTTATCAATCATTATCTCTTATTACGTTTTATATTTATTTCAATTCATATAATCAGTGTGGTGCAAGACATTATGGGTTTCAGTTTCCTGTCTTGCAGATAAAAAGGTACCATTACTCTCACCTACCAGAAGGGAAACAGATGCCAAGCGAACTACAACTACGCAATATGTAAGACCATATTGTTGAATTGGCTTACGTGTTGCTATTTCTAACTAGAATGAACATTTTGTCAAAAAATAATCAGTACCCGGTATTTTAATGATTGTGTCCTCAGTTTCATTATTTATGCAACAATAATAATTCACCCCCGAAACTGTGTGTTAATAGTAAGTTGTACTTCTGTACTTCAAGACCCGTGAAGATCCGGGGTAGAATAGGTCGAAAAGAAAGGGCGACTATGCTTGTCGTAAGAGGCGACTAACGGGATCGGGTGGTCAGTTTCGCTGACTTGGTTGACACATGTCATCGGTTCCCAATTGCGCAGATAGATGCTCATGCTGTTGATCACTGGATTGTCTTTTCCAGACTCGATTATTTACAGACCGCAGCCATATAGCTAGGATATTGCTGAGTGCGGCGTAAAACTAAACTCACTCACTCTGTACTTCAAATAAAATTGTTTCAGGAGAAAATTTGTTATGTGAGGAAAGAAGTTCAAGATAGGAGAAAATAAATAATGAGAGAGAGAGAGAGAGAGAAGAGAGAGAGAGAGAGAGAGAGAGAGAGCGAGAGAGAGAGAGAGAGAGAGAGAGAGAGTTACCATACAACTTAAATTTCTTGTGAGTGAGTGAACAAAAAGATATTAGTTACGATCAAAACACAGGTCTTCGTTGGGTAGGGCATACAATGAGTATTATGCAGATGCTATATTGAACCAGTGCACAAAAGTTCTTTATGTGGAAATGAAACGGTTCATACAAATTCAGATAACTTGCGCCCCAAATGTAATGTTTAAGTACTAACGCATGATTAACAAATACAGGGTTTATTTTTTCAAAGAAACGTCCTATAATGCTTACGTGCCCCAAAATGGTAAAAACCCAAACATCCAATTGCAATGGCATTCTCGAAAAATAAATCTGTGAACGCTAGAAATGTAACGCATAATTGATTAAAAAAAAAAGGTAAACTTTCCATCGCTGTTAATCTCGAAACAAAACAAATGTTGATAGTGAAATTCTGAGCGGCGTCTTGGCATTGTTGACGTTCTATCGAGTGTTTGGTTCGAATCAATTTAATTAATCTGTTCACATTAATAAAACATTCTCGATCACGTAGATTCACTCTTTTCAGGGTGAACGTTAACACAGTGTTAAGTGAACAAATCAACATTATAGTATTTTCTATCGACCTGGAAACTCCGAGCTGAGTCACACAGCAAGTGCTTGTCCCAATTCCGCTCAATAGATGGCGCTGCGATATGAGGTCATGACGTCAGAATTCCTTTTATGGAATGGGGTTAATTAACCTCGATGAAAATGACAACACTGCGCCGCACAGCGTATCGCTATATGTGTAGAGCTTGGGCTGACAGCTCGCTGATTTAACTGTTTTGTTTTGGATTCAACTGTTGTTGTAGTGGATTTTACTCGCCATCTCACAGCTTGCACGTTAGGAATTGAGTCTACACGTGGTGAGTACTGCACCGTTTTTTCGGCATTTCAATGTTGTGGGCTACCTAAGCTGGGTTACTGCTAAATGTGTTGGTACCATTTGTTCCATGTGAATCTAAGCATGTTTTGATTAGGTACGTCATGGACGTGTAACTGGGCTGGACGGACAGTTGTTGGTTAATGTAGAAGGGGTGGCTAGTACTGTTATGCTGGATTGTTTCCCGTAACACGCAGCGGACGAAAAGCTTTACCCGCATGATCCACGGCCGGTCCGCGCCATCTTTGTTACGGTGACCCAGGGGAAGGAGAACTCCGATGATGTTTTGGTGTGATTCTATCTTGCATTTGGACGTCTTTCAAATCTAGACTGTCATAACTCTTGCTGGGGGCATGGACAGCACTAAAACTCAGTGCTAGACACGTTACTAACCACGGTGCGTTTTACTAATGTAAAAATTGCTTGAGAGAGATGAGGTTGTTTACACGAGTGAGGTCGCCATTTTCTCCCCTTTCTGTTCCAGGTCGACCGGTGTGAAGTTTTAGGTGGCCCCATGAATCCCTCAATACATCATCTTGGATATACACAAAGTTGTAAAACCTAACGCTGGGCAAATATGCTGCCCCCCAAATACTGGATATCGATACTATTAACTTTGTGGATTACTGAGGTTACCGAAGGGAGTCCTCAGGACCGGGGTAAGTACGCAGGCCCAAAAAAGTCTACATCAACATTCTTTTGCGCGTCAAATTCTTCCCAGCAGTAAAAACAGACCTGTTAGTGTTAAATCGACTATAAACACAGCGCGCAACGTGATGTTACAACATGCAGAACAATCAAAACATTGTATCAGGGTTGAGGCTCCACAATCAAAACAAACAAATCACTTAATCAATAGAGCAGTGTGGTTATAAATGATTACACAATCACAGCACCTGTAGTCAAAATATTACACCTTGCATCACCAGCTTATCTACTCCCACACTCATTGTTAATTACTGTCATTAGCCTAATCACTTCCATTCATGCCGATGTGTCATGTTGCCATCTGGTACAGGGGGTGTTGTGCCACCATGCCATGTTTGACACCAGTGTTTACAGTGATGATAACGGATGTTGTTATATTATCACTATTGTGTTTTTTGTATCTTAAAATGTTTTTAAACAAGTGGATGATGTAAATATTGACATATACGCCATCCGGAAATGATATTTTTTTTCGGACTAATTTTTTGTGTAATTTATAATACTCTTCTGACAAAAGATGAGAATTTTAATAGTTTTTTTGTGATTATTTATGCTCTGTGTTTGAGATTGAAAAATACAAACTATCAGTACATTACATTGGACAACACTGCTGGTTGCTGAACGCACAGGCTTTCCCCATTCATTAGTCTGACATACAGACCCTGAAACAAGTATATTCTAGAGAGCCCATGCAAGTCTAGAATTAATGGCAAGTCTAGATAACCACAGTTTCAGGAAGAAAGTCTCTAGGCTCCTTTTTATAATTATAATTTAGGAACACGTTTTTTTTCTGTGAAATATGTTCATTTCTGAGACTAGATGCTTGTCTACCCATTCATTAAGACATTGTTTAGAAATATCATTACAGAGTACATCTATGACAATCTTACATTTACAGAGTGAAAATATCAGTTGTACAAATAGCATGCAGTGGGGCATGGGTTGTGTTCAGTGGTGTGTAAGTTAAAGGTGTCTGTTACTTGTTAAAACTTGTTGTGAGATGAATAAACAAACAGGTCTTTGTCATGTGAGTGGAAAGGTCAGTTTTCTGTATCTTCCTGAGTTGGTAATATGTCAATGACATTCTTGTTACATTTCATGTCTTCTGCAATATATACATGTAGGTAACCCAGATAGAGCTGTTGTTATGTGTACAACAGGGGTACTCATTCATGGGGTGGTGTGGCCCTTGATATTTAGGTGTGTAAACAACAATACTTGCAATGGTAATGTCAGGGTAGACTGATGTGATAGTTATTGTTTGAAAGTTTGCCTCCTCTCATTCAGGTTGATAATCCCCCTTTAAATATATAATCCCCCTTTATATACATAATCCCCCTTTCAATATATAATCCCCAGGTGTATTTTGTGTATAATTATGTGTGTCTCTGTGTTTGTTTCTCGTGTATTGTGAGAGTGAGTGATACATTTCTATTTTTGCAGAGGTACAGATAAGCTGTGTATCTGCGTAAATTTTGCAAATATTTGTGTGAAAATTCAATTCCTATTAAGTCTATTGCGTACAGGTACGCTTGAAGTTTTGTAAATACTCAATAAATTTGATATTACATGCGTACAAACAAAAATAGATAAAATAACTGAGGTATATTGAGAGGTTCAGATTATCTATTTCAGCACCTGAACTTGGCAACTTGGAGCCTTTCTTATAGTTTCCCATATCACAGATCAAATATGCAACAAACATGTAAACCAACATTTAAACTTTATTATATTTTTAGAATTAATGGAAAATGGCAAAATGCACAAATGAGTTTGAGTGAGGTGGGTACAATTTGTTTGGTTACTCAAAAGAAAATTAGGAAATCCACACAAGCGAGTACATAGCTCAATGACAAAAAAAGTTATCTGTAGCACTGTCATTGTGTGTCTTACAAATAGTCTCACGTCATGAAATTAGAGTGAAGAATATTAGAATTGGTTTCCAGCAACCTATGCTTGTCATAAGAGTCGACTGACTGGATCAGGTGGTCAGGTTGTGTGACATTTCATCATATCCAAGTTGTAGATCGATGCTCAAGATGTCAATGACAATTTACAATTATCATGCTGTTTAGAGTACCCTAGTAAATGCTAGCTACCAATGGCAATTGATTTACATGTCTATTTTTGCCATTTCCTTTTCCGGCGTAAAGTAGTCTGTCAGTGGGTCCTCTAAATACTCAGATGTACTGAAATGTTTTGTTGTTCAGCAATCCATCCTTCTTGCTGTCTGGTTAATTTACGTTTTTGTTTCGTGATGGAAAGTATGTTTTTGTCCCTGAAGATGGTTCTTATTTGAACTTTCAGTTGATCTGTAATCATTGATGAATTGTGTATTTCTGGTACTGATTCATTAATGTGGAAATCATTTCTTATTTTTTTTGTACCAAAATTAATTATAATACGTTGACCTGAAAACAATTTAACCAACGGAAATGTACAGAGAGATGTGTATTATTTGTGTCCTTTATAAATTGTGTGAGGGGCGGTGGGGTAGCCTAGTGGTTAAAGCATTGGCTCCTCACGCCGAAGACCCGGGTTCGAATCCACACATGGGTACAATGTGTGAAGCCCATTTCTGGTGTCCCTCGCCGTGATGTTGCTGGAATATTACTAAAAGCGACGTAAAACCAAACTCAGTCAGTCAGTTATAAATTGTGTTCATTAGAACTACAGGCAGTGTTTGAAATTAGGCATGAATTGCAGGGTGTCAGTGGCCGATTTAAAAAATGAAGAATTCTGGGTACTTAGATCCAATCTGAAGGACACCGGGACTCTTAATTTGAACCACTGATGATATAGATCACATGTGAGGAAATTACTCAGTTCAGTGAAGGAGATTGATTGCCGTGTCAGTATGTTGAGCTTGCAGATGGTGACACCGGCACCGTGTGATTATTCCATTGTTTTAACAAGCAGATGAAAATGATAACCGTTAACTCCACAGGTACCGCGATCCTGTTACGACAACCAGAACACCTAATACATGTGTAATATCATTTAATATTGACAATAAGCGATCATCCATTGTTTTAGTGAGCACTGCTTTAATGCCCGAGAGAACTGTAACGCAAACGAGTTGTACCGATCAATACTCTGCCACAGTTCATGATATTGACCAGTCCGCGTGAGGGGGATGCTGTGCTCAGATCCTCCTGCAGGATGGATCCTGGCCAGCAGCTGGGTGAGCACGAGGGTGAAAGCAGATCGAGGAAACCCATGCTCCGCCATGCAGGGTACCACAAACAGTCACTCACAATGCAAGAGACGTATCTCATTTAATATGTCATACATTAAACATAGGTTTGAAAGGGATAGCTGTAAATCTTGTTTGTGTCAGTTTAGTACAAAGTGAGAATATTTCCATGGTTAAACATTTACTGCAATTGGTGGCAAACATTTTGGGGTCGTCTAGCTCAAACTATTATCCAGCATCATTTTGCATTGTAAGGACTACGATGATCTGAACCTGGACTAGACTCCGACTTCTCATAAAGATGAGGACTTAGGTTTGTATTTGTGCCACAGCACTGTTCTAAGAGCATAGTGATCAGTTAAAATGGAGGCAGCAGGGGTGAAAATAACCCATTGCCCGACGCCCGAGTCCAGTGGTTTTTCTGTCGGGCAAGCAAATTTGTACCGGTATATCACACTGTACAGGTGTCCAGTTGACTTTCCAATGTTAATTATGTTGTTTATTTTAAAATTCAACAAGACAACGGCCGGTATAGTGGAAAAATGATCAGGGCAAGTGATTTTACATGTGCCACTGTACCGGAGTACACTAGCAATTTTAAAGTTATTTCCACCCCTGAGGCAGGCCATCAATATAGGTGATAGAGAGCAATAATCATCACTTAAATATTGATTATTGATAAATATTGGGGAAAAAATCAACATTTTTCTCATCACTATTGAGTGATGAGACATGATTTATGCATTGGTGACTGACAACTCCAAGTGACGTGTGTATTTTGTGTGTACAATTTGATTGGCAGGTTGTAATCTGTCTTTAGCACACATGTTTAGGTAAATTGAAACTTTATGTCATCACAGAAGTTTATGTAAGCTATTATTGACACAATGTCCTCATTAATAATTCCTCTCATCGACAATACTTCCATTATCAATCTCTTCAGGCAGCTGCAGTTAAAATGAATTCCACATGCCACAAAAACATTCTATGCCGAAGAGTTTTACAAACCGACATATACCGGTACTATGTGACTTTACAATGTAAATTCAGTGATAGATTCAGGCGTAACAACTTAACTAGATAAATACTATGTTAATGAGCATATGGACAGGTAGTCTCTCATACAGACCCTGAAGCAAATATATCAAAGAAAGCCCACACAAGTCTAGAAAATGTGGCAAGTCTAGATTTCCTCAGCTTCTTCTGAAAATGAAGAAAGTCTCAGGGCTCCTTTTCATTATATTTTATTTTTTTTACTATGAACTTTTTACAGTAAAATATGTTCATTTCAGAGACTAGTTGTTAGTCTAATGGACAGGCTGAATTCACAGTTCGATTCATGAACTGAGCTTTAGAATTCAGAAGTTGAATAGGGGTATTAAGAATTTCAGAGAAAAGGGCAAACTTAAAGTTTAATATTACAACTACTTACTTTTTAACTTGAGTAAAAAGAGATTCAATGACTTTCCATGATGGTTGAAAAGTATTCTTATTATACAAGTGATAATTCAGTGCTGGGTTCTAGTGGTGTAACGATTCATCGATAGTATCGATGTTTGCATCGTCAACTACGCGATACGAGTGCATCGATACAAAACATGTTTAGGCAATATATCAGGATATTTATATCGCGAGGGTCCATGATACATCGATGTATCGCCACAAGAGACGATATATCCCCATACTACTTAAATATTACTTAAAGTTGTAGGGAGTATTGCATAAGTAATAGGAAGGGAGTCTCTTTGAAATTTT